TTTGCAATCGGAGCTTGCACCGTCTACAACGACTTTGATGCTCCGATCTGCAAGAAAGCTGGTGATCCAATCGCACAATTTCTCGGGAAGCCCATAGGAAGGGAGTTTCGAAAGAAGCGCTTTGTGCCAAACCCGATTGAAAGCCTTCGCAATGTCCAAACTAACGGCCAATGCCTCTCCCTTGAACTCTACTGCCTCCGCCCATCTATGAGTTAGGTAGACCAGAAGATCACCAGCTGACCGACCACGGCGAAAACCGTATTGGCGGTCACTTATCAGCTGGTGATCTTCAAGGTACCTCATGAGCTGCCAGTTTACAATAGACTCCATTGTTTTGGAGAACAAGGAGGTGATGGCGATAGGTCGGTAGTTGGACGGGTCTGAGCGGTCGCCTTTTTTAGCGATCGGGTGGACGAAAGCTGTCTTCCATGATTTTGGGACTACGCCTAGGGAGTAGGAGTACCGGAAAAGACGAGTTAAAACTGGTGCCAACTCTGGAGCACACATTCTCAGCACAATTGTTAGGAATTCGTCAGGCCCACTCGACTTGTGGATGTCCAGGGAGAGGAGTGCTTTGTGAACCGAGCGCTGTGTGAACTGCACTTGCAGCATGGAGCACTCACACCGCGGGATGGTCGGCGGCGTACTGCCCCCGTCATCGAGAGTCGAGTTGGACGCAAAGAAAGAGCCTAGAAGATCGGCTTTCTCCTTTGCGGTATGGGCCAGTGAGTCGTCCTCCCTGCGCAGAGATGGAAGAGATGGCTTACAGAAATTCCCCTGGACAGCCTTGGCGAGAGACCAGAATGCACGGGTTCCAGAAGGAAGGCGAACTAGTTTGTCGCCAATTCTGCCTATGTGCTCTGACTTTGCCTTGGCAATGACTCTTTTGAAGGACCTAGAGGCGGAATTATACTTCTTTTTTAGAACGCTGGTGTTTACATCCCGGGACGCTGATGCGTCAGCCCAGGCTTGGTAGCACTCCTGCTTATAGCATGATGCTATTTTACAGGAGCGACCAAACCATGGCTGAGATTTGCCTCCAATGCGCACCACAGAGGAAGGAATAAAAAGTTCCATACCCTGAAGTACCACATCAGCGACAGAATCCGCAACAACGTTGGGATCGTCCGGCGAGAAGCAAACCCGCCCCCAAGGGTAGGATGCAAAGAAAGACTGCATCCCATCCCAATCAGCTGACCTAAAGTGCCAAACACGGCGGCAGCCTGCAGAATGCAACTGCGATTTCACCGTGAGTGGCACCACACTCCGGACAAGACAATGGTCCGAGGAGCCTTAAGGGGCGTCGACGGAAATCTGATATCCGTCCGGGTGAGAGGTCAGAAGGTCCAACAGGGAAGATGCATGATCCTCCACATCTGGAATCCGCGTAGGCGAAGTAACCAGTTGTGTCAGACCATATGCCAAGGCAAAATCATGAACAGATCTCCCCGCATGATCGGTTAAACGTGAACCAAGCCATTCGGCGTGATGGGCGTTAAAGTCGCCGAGGATCACGATCTCTGCGGAGGGGAGCTGCTGTAGCAACGAATCTATCTATTTGTAGGTATTAAATAAACAAATATGCACCATAACAAGACCGTTCGGATTATTCCTATTATCCGCCTTAAAAATCTATACTAGGGTGGATGGATACTCAGAAGTGTTCATATATAAGGAATACGTATATATTATTTTTCTTCCGATTTTCTCCTTCAATTGTGTAGTCATTTAAAGAAACACGATAAAAACTGGCCCAAAATACTTAGTAAACACTACCTTTATACATACCTTTTGTTTGAAAAGTCAACGCTGTAATAAAAGGAGTGCCTCACAGAATTACAGATTCATTAGAATCTTGGCATAAAATAATTTAAAATGAAGTTAAAGACAAACATCCAATAGTGACGTTTTTGAAATGCTTGAAAAAAAACGCTCTCTTTTTTGCTAACACATCTGTCGAAGGAAAGAAATTTCGAGGACGATTACAAATCTACATTTAAAGTGACGAATTTATCCAGAACATCAAATCATTATGCTAATAGAGTCGCTAATTTACTCGAAATATTGCAGAATTTATAAATTACGTAATAATATTATTTAAAACGAGGAAGTTTAATATGATTTAAATGTACGTAATACTAACCGTAATAAACGGTAATAGAGACGGCAATACGTAATACGTTTTTTTAAATATGTTACTAGTAAATAATAATTATATGTGTGGAACTGTACTTGGGGTAAAAAGTCGGAGAACAAATAAAAGTGAATTCCGATTCGTTTCCGAGTATCCTATCCACGTAAAATCAATCGAAAATAATCTACCCTATATCCTAAGGTAGATTTTGTTACTAATTTTTTTTTACCGTAACGTCACATGAATAGAAGAAACCGTACTGAGGCAAAGCTTCTAAGAAGCTGTCAAAATGTTTACCTAGGGTTGGCACAGGGGGATAAAATTAAACAAATAAAACATATTTTTTCAGCTGTTTATTATGTACCTATGATAGAATACTTTTTTACAAACCGCTTACTCTAAATATTTTATTTTAATTTTTTGCTTTAGAGTAATTTGTTATGCCTTTTAGTTAAATGGTTAACTTTATTTCTTAAAGAATCTAATAGAAAGCACTCATATGGCATAAATACAAGCTTGCACATGTTTTAATAAATTACTTTCAATATTAAAAACGATTATTTCAAAATTTAAATATATTAGCGAATTTTATTGCAATTCAACAAATGCTAAATTTGTTGATGAAAAATAATTACCAAGTATAACCTAGTTTAATCTTTGGGATATTAAAAAATTACTTATTTTAATTAACTTTATTTGCTTTGAACAATTACAATACTATTGCATGAACTATTAATAATTATTATTGATTGTATATATTTATGTTCTATTATTGTCCGTACACAGAGAATAGTAGACCATATTTACTTTCTTTAAAAACACAAAATTTGCCACTTATTATTCTTTACATCACCCTAAATTTGAGCACTGGCCGAGCTGGTTTAAAGCCGATTCTCTCTGAACGTGACGAGCTGAATTGATTGTAACACACGCGCGCCTCAGGCTTGTAGTAGTGTACCTGTGATAGTGCGGTTGTATGAGGCTTTGCCTCTGTGTCTTCACTCATGTACACGTGCCATGAAGTTAACGGCGATGAGGAGCACGAGTTCAATTCGTGCACCGATCAAGTATTTAGTAGTATATAGCCTACAAATAATTTTATCGAGTTTAGATATTTTTCCTTGTGATATTTATGCGTGTAAACTTAAGAAAAATTGATTGAATCGCTCCTTCTATAGTTTCCGCTACCGCCTTTCAATTAAACATTATCTGGATAAACGATTCTGTAATACATAACGTCTGGAAGTCTTCCTTTTTATTCTACTCCTCCCGCTTAGCTGATATTTGAATATTTCACGAAATTGCTTCAGACGTTTCTATAATTACGTTGCTTTCGTCTGCCTTCATGTAATTCAAAATACCTGTATTGTGTTATTTTTTCTTCTAATTGTTGCCGCTCAATTTAACGAGATAATTAAGTTTAAATTAAAATTTATAGCGTTTAAAATTTTTATAAACGTACGTTTCTTTATATACATATTATAATTATTTATGACTTTTTATTAGCAGTAAATAATGTTATATAATAAAATTATTATTATTTTGGGTTCTATCTGGTTGGGCTGTTTAAATAGATAAAATGAAATTTTGAATTATTACTTTTTATGGGGTATTTTATTAGAGTTTATTTTTTATTATTTTAGTTTATAAATTACTTACTAACCCACCCAGGATCACGGTCTGAAATGAGTGATTATTATTATTATGGGGTATTCACAGAGTATTCTCATCTAGTTGGGCTCAATAAATATATAAAAGGAAATGATAAATATACTTAAATATATATTGAATATACTAACATAAATAAATAAATAAAACATAAATAAATAAAAGCTCAACTAGACGGAGACTGTCGGCAGGGGAGACCAAACGGCCGAGGGTTAGGGGAAAGGGAAACAAACCGGCGGACGATGCGGGCGGTACCGAGGAGCACCGCCTTCTGCATTTGAGTCCGGAGCGGTTCGTTACGGAGTCCCAGCCGCTTCAGATGACCCGAGAGGCTGATCGGGATTAGCCCGATCGCAGAGACGACTACAGAAATAATTTCGGTCGGCAGACCACCCCACATGTCGGTCACCTTTTGAGCCAGTACCAGATAATTTGTTTTCTTATCTGTTTCAGCTTTCAAGAGGTTCTCGTCATGCGGAATGGTAATGTCAACCAAAAATTTCCTAGACTGTTCCCGGTCCATCAGCACAATATCAGGATTAATCGCAAGAATAGTCCTGTCCGTGATGATGGCCCGGTCCCAGTAAGAGCCTGGCGCGATAATCTTCGAGCGCGGCTTCCGGCAAATAATTCATTTTTCGTTTTTATTTTTGTTTGCCAAGTGTTTCGGATAGAATAACAACCTGGATCACTTCTGGTATTGTTCTCTATACTTACTTTCGTAGTTTTATAACAATCTATTTAGCCATTCTGAAGATTAGCCCGCACACACAAACATTTTAAAAATGGTTATTTATGTCTTAATGACTTCGTACTGGTGGTAAGCGAAGCATAGAGCCCCACCCCGTCCCCCACTAGATGGAGTGACCCCCTGGTAAGATATGCAAGAAATCGATAGATGCAGGTGATTCTAGACCGTGCTTTGTGGCATTGCTTGGGGGGAGCCCTAAGTTCAGCAGTAGAATTTTGATAATGATGATATACGTTTCTATACCATCGATCCGATAAAGTTGAAACTGTAGAGAGTAATTGTGAGCGCACACGCAAACGTTTCCGCAAATAACGGGCACTGCACAACGCATTCATTCACAGTAAGTATAGGCTGTATACCAAATTTGTTCTTGGATATATATTATCATTATTTGGAAAAATAAGTTAAAGAAAACCTTAGTGGGCTAAGTACTAGCTAAAGTACTACCTTCATTAGATCGCGTTGATCCTCGACAGCACAAGTGTAGAGGCCCTCCTGATCAAGTTCCAGGTTTCGCAAGATCAGAATCTCATCAGTTGTCTCGAGCTCGCTGCTCCTCTCGCCGGGAGGGGTCAGATGCCAGATTAGCTGCAAAATAGTATTGTGTGAATGAGTTATGGTTCATACTCATTGGTCGGAAGATAACGTGGCGCGAGCACGGTGGCCCCGCCACTAGATACAGTGACGAACTTATGAAGACATGCAGGTGCAGTCGTTGGATGCCGGTGGCTCAGGACTGTATTTTGTACCTTTCTTGGGGCAGGCCTATGTTCAACAGTGAATTTGAAGAAAATCGTGATGATGATGTTTCCATTACGCCACTGTAAAACAACCCGAAACTATCATTACTAATTATTTACTAGATAAATCAGTCTCGTATACAAGGAAGAGCGGAACATACTTAACTTATATTTACTAGTGGTAATACATATAATTGCTGATAAATAATAATTATAATTGCTGATTAATAATAATCATAATTGTTGATTAATAATGGTTATAATTGTTGATTAATAATTATTGATAATAATTATTTCTACACCTGTCTCTCTCTACTTTCATTTAGTGAAAAAAGAAAGTAACCTAAGTTACTCCTTAGAACATCAGCCATCTGTCAGTGAAAGTCCCACCAAAATCGATTCGAACAAAAAAAAATTGTTACAAGTATCGCATATATTTTTATACGCATTTAGTAAAAATCTTTTATTTTGATATTACAAACAGACCCTTCAAATTTATTTATTTATATAGAAGTAAGGGGACAAAAAGCACATAATCTGATGGTGACCGCCGTCGCCGAGAAACATCACCTACTTTAAATTCGTTCTAAATTTAATTGTCTCACCTTAGGTCTGGGCCATCCCACAACGGGGCAGGGCAACACCACGAGTGATCCCCTAGGCGTGAGTATTTGAGATTCGTGATACACTTCTAGCAAACCAGCCGGTCGATCCTCCACGGTGTCCAGGACATTCAGCCTGCCGCTGGGACTCACGCGACTTCTGTTCGCCGGTTGGTTAGTTGCTATACAGCTGCCGGAAAACAAAACGTTGAGTGTTCATATTTATTGTTATAAGAGGAAATAGAAGTAAGCAGAAGTACATAGATTTTTTTGTAGAATACGACAAATGAACGCACAGTCCGTCTGCTGGTAAGATGCATTGGTCTATAGACATCTACATTTATCCTCGAATACGAATCAAAATGCATATGCGTTGTCATCCCTGAGGACTAAGATGGAATGCCTCGTCTCCAATAAAAAGGGTTTTTTATTCTGTGAAAGCGTGGTCATTCACCAGTCTACCATGTAAATATTAGTCATTTCACCCCGCTCTTGGACCAGTTATGCGACCACAGATCCGGTCAGTAATTCCTTCATCGGGCAATGTGTACAATTTTAAAACAGTCTTAGAGAATATGCATGATCTATCTATCAAAAAAGTTTAAAATTTTTAGTAAGCAAACATATTGCTTAATAAGGGTTATTATATATAATGAGGTGATCACCATGCTGTTTCTAAATGTTTTCTTTTTTTGTACACTATATTTTATGGTAAATTATTGGATACATAAGTCCCGCTAGACTTTTTGCTGGTTCGTCCCAGGACGGAGGTATTTTTCTGTACCAGTGGTATAAAATAATGAATTTTAAAAAGTTTTCTCGTTATCTATATTGAATAAAAATTATTCTATTCTATTATATACCGTCTAAACTACAATTACGCTGAGACACATTATAGAATCTCTATCCTACAATTCTTTGTAGGACAGACACACTATATACACTATATAGACAGAGATCCTATAAACCTTTCTGATGATTTCTTATATTTACTCGAACACTACACATTGATTAAAACTACTTTTACGGATTTTATCGCGTTTATTTTACTTTTAATTACTTTTATTTTTAATTCCCGACGTTTCGGGCGCTTTCCGGCATCCATGGTCACTGGAAACGTCGGGAATTAAAAATAAAAGTAATTGAAAGTAAAATAAACGCGATAAAATCCGTAAAAGTAGTTTTAATCAACCTTTCTGAGATAATACGTTTTGTGAGTTTATTGAATATGCTAAAATATGATCCGTCACCGTTACAACCTATTAAGTCTACTTCTGAAAATAGATCCCCACAGATTTCCTTTTAGGGAAGATATTTGCCACAGTCACCACGGTCGGTTGGCAACCGCAGATTTTTTTTGTTATTGGGACGACGCTGCTTGCTGATCTCTTGGTATTCCCCCTCTGTCACTACATCAATATATATATATATATATATATATATATATATATATATATATTAGGTGATCGCTTTACCGTCTGGAAAAAATTAGGCTGTAGCTTGTAAACGAAGTAAAAGCCCATGGCACTGATATTTTACAAAAAGTAAAAACAATTTTTTTTTATTTAATATATAAATTAATTAAAATCTATAGAAATTCAAATCATATCCACCCTACTTTACAAACGGCAATAAAACAACAAATTAAGTAGGCATCAAAGATGCCTACTAAATTGACAATTTTTTTTTTTTTAAATTTATTATAAAGTGACAATTTTTACCTTATCATTTCGCAATTTCACAGGCTCAAGGGGAAAGGGCAATGTAATTGTTCAAAAGAGGTTTTTCAAAAGTTTATTACAAAATTTTTGTTTTTATTTTTTGTAAAATATCAGTGCCATATGCTTCTACTCTGTTCACATGTTGCACCCTATTTTTAACCAGGCGATAAAAAAGGTCATCCAGTATATGTATGAGTTAATAGATATTCTTAATCTGCCACTACATGGTCGTATAAAAATATGATAAATTGGTAATGTAGATTTTAAAAATAATATAATATACCTGTACGTGCCGGAGTCTTCTGATCTTGCGTCCATGATCAACAGTTGAGTATCGAGAATGTGGTATCTGACAAAAAAAGAAATTAATTATACGCTGAAAAGGAATTTCATTGAACTACAAATAAGGTGGCGAGGCAGCTCAGGAAATCAGTGCTTGCTTTATGCTTTACAATACTCGAGCAAGTACTCGACGGGAAGAAAAATTGTGAAGGAACACAACTTCTAGCTAAAAGTTATCCCACTAAATGTGGGAAGCGAACAAAGTTTGATACAAATGACGTTCGAGGTTGTCGGCTTTAGCAATAAAAAAATTGTGATTTGAACGGGCAGTAAGCTCCATAGCCAGTCATTTATATTTATGACTGTTGTCATTTTTTTAATGAAATATGGATGAAAAACAAGCGCACAGTCCACTTGGCAGATGGTAAGTGGATGTTGTGGCCCATAGGCATCTACATTTATCCTCGATTAAGAATTAAAACGCAGATGATGCACTCCTGACGACTAAGATGGAATGCCTCGTTTCCAGTAAAAAAGGGTCTCCGGATCTCTACACTCATCATACGAAACACAGGAGTAATAACCTGCTATCTTACGCTGTTATTCTGTGAGAGCGCGATCCTTCCCCGGTCGAGCCGACCCAATCGTGCTGCTACCAAAGCTGCAGCGTGGCTCTACCGCGTATAAAACTTGGTGAAACAGTTGCATAAATTAGTACTAATGCTCGGTTTTATAATTAGGATAATAATGATTTAAAAAAAATATTGTGAAACTAATACAAGTGTATATCCAAATTACAAATAACTATAGCAATTGCATAAGATGTGTAGGAATGTAGAAGGTTCTTGATCTTGACTTTGTGATCGGCACTGCCATTGTTGGCGCGGTTGTACGCGCGAACATAGTTTGTACCGAACCCTCCTTGTCACATTCATGTTTTTTGTGGGACATCATTAATTTTTAGAAAAAAACATTTATATTAATTCCTTTTATTAATCTAAATAAATGCATGACTGTTTACGTTTTTCTTGCGTTTACATTTTCCATCTATCCACTACGCCCTATAAAAATCATAGGCCCCCTAATATTGCCTAATAAAGATTTTGCCATAGTTTTATCAGGTTATTGCGACGTTGTTATCAGGAAGATGCTGCTTCCAATTTCTAGTTTCTATATGAGATAGTGGATATTCTTACTCCGCCACTACACGGTTACACTTTACTGTTTTCGTTTTTAATTTAAACAAGTTTTCACCCGTGGGGACTAAGATGGAATGCCTCTTTTCCAATAAATATAGTGTTGCGCGCCATAATTAATGCCTGGTAAATGCCACTACCACCATCTAGTATTGAGTAGCAGAACTAGGATAGCTTTCTAGAAAATGCCATGCTAGAACTTTCCCACTAGCGCCATATAATATGGAGTGGCAGAACTAAGAGAGAACTTTCTATGCATAGTCGGTTCGGGAACCGAAGTATGCTCGAACATTCTAGATGTTATAGTGGAAAAGGCCTATATAGGGCCAGTAAATACCGCAACCGAGGGAGTATTGAATTGGCAATCCAAACTAAGACTTCGAAGCGATATATATGCGAACTAAAGTGTTAAGTGTGATTAATTATTAGTGTGTTTTAAGTTTTAATTGATGTTCGGTAATTAAAGTATCAATTTTGGTAATTCAATCGGCAGTTTTATATAGTATCCGGTTTTCTACACTCACCATACGAAACACAGCAGCGTTGAGCTGCTATTTTACGCTGGTATTCTGTGACAGCGTGGTCCTTCCCCGGTCGAGCCAATTCATTCGTGCTACAACTATACTACTAATATAGTTGCAACATGGCTCTACCACGTTAAAGTTGCCTTAATCATTACACTTGCCAGAAATATTGACAATATAAGTTCCAGACGTCTCTTCCCTTTGATGCTGCTCTTCGTTGCCGATCTGAGTACCAATTTGGGTTCAGCGTAAATGAGATGAGGCCAGTCTCTGTCGAATACCTTTAGATTTTTCTAACATTTCCCATCGGCTTTTACGACACCCATGGGATGTAATGGAATGTCACATTCAGTTGATAGATGCAGGTGGCTCAGTACCATTCTTTATGGCATTCCTTGTGGAAAACCCATGTTTAGCAGTAGACTTGTAAAAGACTGTGATTATAATGATAATGATGTCAAATTATAACTACCTAGTTTAAAAATTACAAATACCTAGAATTTCGGAGTAGCTCTTCGCCGTTCTTCAACCAGGTGATAGATGCTGGCGGTCCAGAACTGATGTTGCAGGATAGAGCGACAGGTTGTCCTCTATGAATTGTCGTGTTTTCTGGATGCTTGGAGAACTGCTTATCCATGTCTGTAATAAAGAACATATCTTAAATAATTGCTATTAATTACAGTCGTAACTGCTTGCGCATTGGTCATATTCAAAATAAACAATCAAAACACAATTAATTATAGAATGCAAGGTAAGGTTTATAGCATGTGGTAACAGGTACCACACGTGGCATTTGTGATATTCGGTTTGTGTATGTAGGCGATAAGCTGGCCACCATCATTTATTTCACAATTTATTAAAGTTGGTAAAAATTACTTCACCCACATCCATGAGCAAGAATGGGACGAACCACATTCATGAACGGGAGTAGAAAAATGTTCGCCTTGTTGTGGCGGCGAAAGAGAATCCACCACCTCATATTGTCATAGCAAATATCCAGCCTATTTGACAATTTATGGGGAAGGCCTATGTGGAATTTTGATAGTAATAATGACGATGATGAGTTCTACGCATAGATAAAAGCCCCATTAAAAGTAAAAAAGTAGCAGCCTACATCTCTTCATAGTCATTACTGGGCACAGTCTGCAGACAATTTTTGGTCAAAAACGTTTTCGCTGCGCTGACCCAAACACGGGATGACCTCAACTGTTCAGTAGCCTCAATAATTAATTTAATCAGTGACTTATCATTAGTTTATTTAGCAGTAAGTAGATGGCGCTATTATTAGATGAAATAATGAAAGCCAAAACTATGTTTTCTAATAATATCAACGATAGTAGGTTCAAGTACAACTGGAAAGTCGCGAACATTTATTTATTATATAAGCAAAGCATAAAATAGCGTTGATTCTGCTTAAAACTCTGCTTGTGTTAAAAATACGCTATCAGCGCCGTTAGCGGTGAAAAACTATTCGACGATATGACCATAATATCACGAAATAGCTGTCGTTTAGTTATTTGAGCTTAATATCGTGAAACGGTCTCTTTTCATTGATTCGGACAATTTTATTATGACATGGTCAACAAACAGTGTAAAACTACTACTACTATTTCACGAAATTTATTACTTTAAGATTTGATTAGTCTACGATTTGGCCATGACATATAAATGTAGTTTTTTTAATTATATTTAATTAGAATTGGAACGCAAAATGTACTTTTTCTATTTGATCATAGATGGCGCTGTTTTGTTCATCGTGTAAATGTAGATCGTCGGCGTAGTTTCAATTTAACAAAGGTTTAAACTAACTTTGGAACTTTATTTATAAATATGCCATCTATTTGAAAAAAAAAAATACCAGTCATCTTGGCCAGACGACCTTCTTTTTGAAGTTCCGTAATCCGATAAAAAATATCCGATAAGTAAAATGGCTTATAATTAGCCCCGAGTTACTAACTACCTACCTACATACAAAATTTCATGGAAATCGGTCCAGTAGTTTTTTCGTGAAACGTGAATACACAGACAGACAAAAATTCTAAAAACCACTAATTTAGCTTCAGTACCCTTTACTTAGTCCCCTGGACTTTTAGACTTTTCTACAGATTTATTAAAAAAAATATATATATATATATATATATATATATATATATATATATATATGTGTGTGTGTATGGAGAATTAGAGTGTGTATAGAATATGTATTTACCAAACATAAGATCCGAGGCGAAATATTAGTGAAAATATTACCTCCCACGTGGCTCGATATCATACATATTCCGCTGTCATGTTACAAATCCCAACACAGCCTAAGGCAGTATTGAGTTGACATGCTTTGAACGTTATTGGCTAAATCCTATTGTAGTATATATATTATTAAATCTTAAAGGAAAATACATAGTATAAAGGTTTACTTTTGAATTATAATCAGCGGTATCTATTTTTTATAAAATAAGGTGACGACAGACGAGCGCACAGTCCACTTGATAGCAGGTGAATGCTGTGGCCCATCGATATCTACATTTATCCCCGATTAAGAATCAAAATGCAAATGGATTTTCACCAAGGACTAATATGGAACTCCTCGTTTTTAGTATAAAGGGTCTCCGGTTCTCTACACTCGCCATACGAAACAAAGCAGCATTAAGCCGCCATAACTCCCTGGTATTCTGTGAGAGCGTGGTCCTAAACCGGTCGAGCTGAGCCAATCGTGCTACAACTATAATACAGCCCCGTAGCGTGACTCTACCACGTAAGAGTTCTACAGTCAAGTACAGTCCGCCACGAAGGAACTATTAATGCTCAAATATAAGGAATCGTTACTTTCGTAGCAAAGTGAATTAGAGAGTGAGGCGCTGTACGGCTGCAGGTTCAAATACCGCACGTAACAGTTAAGTAATCTGCCTCCAGAATGTAGGAGAAAATGTGTAGAATTTCTCCCGTATCGTAGACACGTATATAATTGCTGTCAGTGGCGGATATACACATTTGCCGCCAGTAGGCTATTCAAATTTTGCCGCCCCTACCGACTTTTGCAATTCGATACCCTAGTCCTAGTTCACAATCATATTGATTGAAATTTTTTTGTCAATGAAATTAAACCACCTTTTTGCCTTAATTATGATTGTGAACTAGTGAATCGATGTGTCAATTCGTGGATTATTTTTACACCTCAAAGATTTAGTAAACATTGCACAGGAATAACTCAACAAATAGTTTCTGAGTATATTTCCGAGCTAATGAAAGCTCAATACTAATAAGGCGGAGTAAGGTATGATTTAATACTACTTACCTATATTCGATAAACGTAATTTTTTTGCACTTAGAGTTTAAAAAACAATATATTTAACTATCTAGTAACAATCTGGCCGGTGATGATAATAAAATTCAATAGGTTGAGTTACGAAATTAAAAATTCCATTTTGCAGCGATTATTTATTCGCAAAATTATCAGTTACATCGTTGTACGAAATCTTGTTCATTAGCCGACTCTACGCACAAAAGTGCTAAGGCGCTTAGCTTTATTTGGCTTATGGTAGATCTTAGATAATTGTTTATCCGTTTTAAGCAAGAAAAGCTTCTCTCACTCGAACAATTTGTCGCTAGTATACGTGAAACCATGCGAACTGCTGCATCAAAGTTTGGATAAACGTTTTGCAAATTATTTTTTTCCAGGAACGAAGACAGACTTTTCAACGACCCAGAATCAGGTTTCACTAAAAAAATTTCAGAAAAGTCTTAGTGAAACCTGTTTCTAAATCATCATAATACATTTCTTCAAAGAAAAAGACCTTAAGCTTTGCCGCCCTATAAAACCAAAACTAAGAGAAGGACAGAGATAAGAAAACTAAGTCATATACTATAACTAAGGTATTAAGAAAGCAATAGCAAACAAGCTTTGGCAATAATTAGGAAAACTTCGAAAAACCATCTTAAAAAAAACTAACTACACTACACAATACTAAAATCAAACTAAAATCGACTAAAACTATTATTACTTCAACTGTCAAAATGGCGTCGATAAAGCAGTGCCCTTTTGAGCTTTTATTATTTGATTGAATGATGAAGAGCTATCGTATTTTAGAGGCATCTATGCAAATAATGCTACAGGTTTTGAGTTATAAGAAAGTGACCATACTAACCGGATGACCATATTACCCTCACGTACTATATTCACTAATTTTGCTCTAAAACTAAAACTTTTCACTGTAGAAGGCCTTCTGTTGTTCTCTAATTCGGATACGAGTCTATCAATACGGAAGAGAAATATGTTATTTCCTGAAAATATCACTCGTAGTTATTCTCATTTCTTCATCGAGTGAAGAAAAAAAAATAAACATATTTTTTTTCGTTTTCGGTTGTCATTTTTTCTGTGTCTTTTGTATATTTATTTGATTTGATTTGACACGCTTATTAACTCCATCGCATTTTCTTCGAAATACTTAAAAACTCGTTTAGCTACGAAAAACTTGGAAAAAAAAATTTCCGCCCCAAACATCTGCCGCCCTAGGCTCCAGCCTACTCTGCCTGCTGGTAAATCCGCCACTGATTGCTGTAACTTTGCACTACTTACTTATTTGGATAAAAATATACGAAAACATGAAATATACAACTTAGACATTAGGTACATAAGTACCTAAGTTAAAGTTAAGTTACATCCTTCCTATATGCGTGTCCCACTGCTGGGCACAGGCCACCTCTTTTCTGAGAGGGTTTTAGGGCAAGGAAGTGTCTTGAAAGGAAGTGTTGTGAATTTCACATGTCTTCGAAATATTTTTTCCTTATTTCTCAGACATGTAGGTTTCCTCATGACGTTTTCCTTTACCACCGAACACTTGGTAATTCAACACTGAAAATTGCAATTAACAATTTCATTGGTGCCGGCGGGGATCGAATCCGGGTTGCTCGCGTACTGTATAATTTATAGCAAGCGCTAACCATCTAAAAGTCGTGGTAGACTCTTGTATATAGAAATTCAAAAGAAATTGTGTTATAATGTTATAAAAAGTTACGTTTATTATAATAATACTTAAAAATAATATTTGAATGAAAGTCAAAATAATCTTCAATAAACAATTGTTATAGGTAATACAGACTTTTTGTAATTAAAACACTGGTTTACTTGTTTGTTCGTTGTTTGTAATCTTAATGGGTTTAATTATAAAAGTACCCTTTTTAAACAAATTTGATCACCCCGCTTCGTTCCGTTCACTCACAACTTCCTCACAAACATATTTGTTCGGAAATTTAATACGGCCCTTTCAAAAATCCTATATGTTTGCCGACAGGCATTACAACACATAGATAAATACATATTTTCTTTTCACATTTCGGCTAACTAAAATTTCCAAATATCGCTTGTGGAAAATATAAAATTGCCGTGTAGTACCGACTTGAGATAATCCACTACGCCAAGTAAGAGGCGGGGGAAACGAATAGATGATAGACAGCTACATATTCCTGAAAACAACGCAAAATGATAAAGAAATCGCAGTAACTATAGCGTTGCAAGAACGGCAAATAGATATTTTCCATAGATTAGCTCCTATGAGGTAAGTTATGGGACGGGCCGATGTAGACTTGTAGCTAACAAACTTACACTGATGGTAAGTGGCCACTGCAGTCCGTGGACACCTCCAGCTAACTTCAAAAAACCCGTTTTTCACCATTATAATAAACCCGTTTTCACACTTATTATACAGGATTAAAATTTAAAGAGTAGTCAAATTTATTTATTACCTTTGTTGCAGTTCTTGAAATTACGAGTAAATAAGGCTTCTACTTTTATTTGAAATTATCCCAAATTTAATTTGATTTATGGGCAACAACGTTTTTGCCTACCGATCGACCCTCACGAATGTGTGCGTGCGCAGTAAAATCAGTTAAAATAAAGCATTACTCCGCATTTTGAATTTGAAAGGTAAAAAGGACAGAATGTTTGAGATTTTTTTGTTAATTTTTCTTTACCATTTGCCTTTGTTACTTATTCTGAACCTTCTTTGCAAATTTGGCCGGTTATTGCAAAATAACCCTGTATAAAAAAGAGACTTACCTACCACTTATTAAGGCGACACCTTGATAAAATGCACCTCCTTTCATCGAATAGTATGGGTCTATGACACGACTAACGAAACTGAAATTTTGATATAAGTAAATTCATGTCTTTATCTTGAATTTGCTTGCTCAAAAACACGATTGTATAATTTTGACTCGATCATAATTATTTGCGAAAACACCTCTAAAAAATCACTATAGTTGAAATTACAACAAAATTACTTAATCTATATGCTTGGGAATCACTCAAATGTATTCGTAACGTCAATATTTATAATTTAGTTGCGCATTATTATGATTACTTAATTCATTAATTTTTTAAAAATATTTTAAGATTCTGACAATTTCTAAGCGTGTTAATCGTCGCGGACGTTACGCAATTTTAGACCTTATGACGGCGTTTTAAAGTTTAATAGAAATTATATATTCACGGGGACCAGTCCGGCGAGAGGCCGCCACAACGGAGGACCTACGCAAGTCGTTCGCTTGTACTCTCTATTCTTATAGATATATCTTTATTATTATAAATAGCTATAGTTGTAGAATAGGTTTATTATTATAATAGGAAATTATTATTAGTATAAGTAGGTACTTAAATAATTTGTTTGTGGTAATGGGAAATACTAAGAAAAAAATATATAGGAGAAAAAGGAAAGAGCAATTTGAAAAAAAAAATGTTCTTAGAATGACGGAGGCGAACAAGTCAAGGTAAATAATATCATTGTAAATATTTTAATAGCATTTTAGTGTCACGTATGTCTGTAGTTAATTATAAAGAACATTACCTGCCTACCTAGATTCAGTATGATTCAAGCAACTTAGCCATTTAGATAATTCGAATTACTTAGTACTTACGTACAAGAGAATAGAGAACAAAATCGTATATAATAAAATAAGCCTCTGCGTTATACGTATCGAGGTATGATTTTTTTTATATGATAGGGTGACAAACGAGCACACAGTCAACCTGGTGATAAGTGCTTGCTGTGACCCATAGACATCTACATCTATCCTCGATTACGAATCAAAATGCATATCAAAATACAGACTTTTACGAGGTGGAGCCATGCTGCAGTTATATTAGTAGTATAGTTGTAGCACGAATGGGTCGGCTCGACCGGGGAGGAACCACGCTCTCACAGAATACCACCGTGAAATAGTAACTTAATGCTGCTGTATTTCGTATGGTGAGTGTAGAGAACCGGAGACCAAACTCAATGGTGGCAACGCATCTGCATTTTGATTTGTTATCGAAGATAGATGTAGATGTCTATGGGCCGCAGCAACCACTTACCATCAGCTGGACTGTGTGCGCGTTTGCCACCCTATCCTATAAAAAAATGTGTTGTCACCCGTGAGGACTAAGATGGAACACGCACCATACGAAACACAGCAGCATTACGCTACTATTTTACGCTAGTATTCTGTGAGAGCGTGGTCCTTCCTCGGACGAGCAGGCCCATTCGTGCTACAACTACTAATACATAATATAACTGCAGCATGACTCCACCGCGTTAAATGACACTTGAATCATTATGCTTCCTCCACACTACTCGCGAAGTAACTTCGACGAAGTGCTCGTCGAAGTCGATCGAGGCCGAAGTACGTGACCACACACTCGTGCTACTTCGCGAAGAGCTCAGTCGTCTTGAGTCTCCCGTACCCTTAACATGAATAACGTTCAAGAGGCAGCTGCTGTTGCAATGTGTTCGCTCGCGTATTATAATTACGTGCGTGTTTTATATACAACAAAAATTAAAAAGAAATGGAGAAAAAGGAGATGGTGGATGATTGCAATGCACCGGAACAGAACTAGGTTAGTAAACAAGGCACAATTAAGAACTTTTACCATAGGTAGAAAAGTCTAAACATAGGCACATATTATTATTACTATTATGATTATTTTTAATTTATATTTCATATTTTTGCAGACATAGTATGGAGCAACAATTTGTTGAACTCATACAAGAACCATCTGGAGAATTCGAAAATTTCCATCGAATGTCATTGACGGATTTTAATTACTTGCTTTCCAAAGTTCTGCCACTTATCTCTAAGCAAGATACTCATTTAAGGGAAGCTTTCTTTTCAGTTTCTTTTTTTTTCAGTTCTAGGATAGGCATATTGAAAATTCCTTGAATGCGCACCCAAGCATCGTTGATTTTTTTTTCTATCTTTATGTCCTCTGTCAGTTGGGTCCCAAATAACTCGCTCTGATTGTAGTGTTTCCAAGAAGAAAAGGACTTGTTCCTGTGACCAAGTCGCACTCATTATATGTACCGAATTTTATGCGCGCGCACCCACGTGTGAACAGTACGGCGTCAAAGCGCTAATGGACGTACGCCGAGTAGTGTAGTGAGATGCTTCGTGTCACTTCGGGGTACTTCGCGAAGTCCTTTGACTCTGGCGCAAAAAAACCGACAGCGATCGGAAGTCGCCCGAGGCGAAGCGAGGTTGGACGAAGGGAATCGAAGTACCTCTCTACACTATTCGCCTCGTCCAACTTCGATCTACTTCGCGAGTAGTGTAGAGAAAGCATTAGGTTTTCTACGCGTGGTTGCTTATAGCTGCATTTTAGTTATTTTTTGCGGGAATAAAACATGACATTTGACTAAATGCTATCTATATAGGTATATTGACAACATCCATATACTGGCCGTATATCGAGATAAGGAATCGGGACTCCACACTCTTGTTATATCCACTATAAGCTTGCCTGCTTCAACCTAAGCTTTGTAAGTCGGTGGAGGTCACATTCCGTTGGTCGTTATACAACTCAATACGCACTATTAGGACAGTAATCCGATGGAGACGCTGTGACTGTGCTCTATATTGTTCTAAGTGAAATTAACGAGTTTTTTTTCTATTATTACAACCTCCAATTTTGAGAAGATTGTCACAAGAATTAAAACCAACAGTAGTGCTAGTACAGTAAAAAATATCAAATTATCTAGACCTAAATATAGATCCTTGTCGTTTATTCATAGACAAAAATCATCCATTTTTAGTAGCAACGCCTGACAGTTTTATAGGAAGTAACACCCTGTTTGAAATCACATATCCCATAATTGCATACAAGGTCGGTATTGACGAAGTCATAATACAAGAAAAATGCATTTCTGGCGAGTAAATAAAAAAGTGGTGTGATCCAGGTGAACAAAAATTCTGATTGGTACATGCAAGTTCAAAGACAGGTGCATATTTCCGAAATATCTAAATGCTTATTGGCAGTTTGGTATCGATGTAATTAAATCAAAGTGGAAACAATAGTAAAGGATGACCAATTTTGGAAGGATAGAATGGAGAAAAACTACTTTCATTTTATTTTCACTGCTTGCTACCGGAATTGGTAGAACCGCGACTTACTCGTAATAAACAAATTCGGGATCCAAATAATGTAACAAAAAAAGAAAAATAAAGAAAATGTGCATAATGGCCCTAAAAAAGAAGAGGAATAAAATATCATTAAAAACGTAGTTACAAATTCTGTTATACAATATAATCAGTTTTAAAAATTATGACTTAGTTATTATTTCAATAAATAAAAAAATATAAGCTTTGTTGATTTCTCTTTTGATAAACTAACATGACAACAACAATGACATATACAGTTACATTTTATTATACAAGACAATAAATGATGCAAAATATTAAAAACATTAAAAATAATAGTGTGTCGCGACTCCGACGCTTGCTTGTTCCTTTCTGTATATCGCACGTTGACCTCTGATTGAGCATTTGGCGCGAGTTTGAAATTTTAGGAACAGAGTGACGAGTGTCGCAAGCGGGGCGCGGGGTGGAATAGGCGGAGCCATTTTAAGCGTTTATTTTCGATGTGTCGTCTTAAAATACATTGAATATAATTTCATTGATATAAATCGATAGGCAGTGATAAATGAATGAACAAGCAAGGTTAACATTGTTTTAAAAAAACACAACTACGTAAATAAATTACTGATAAAGGTATTATTATGAGTATTATTCGATAATATAAGAACATCAGCACAGCTTTATTATAGGTTTTGAAAATTTAAGCGAGAATGGTCGCTAACGAACTTTAAATCGTTACAGATCCTAAATAGTCATTCAAAACAAAAAATGCCTAGACCTTTGAGTATTCAACTAACGCCTAGACAAACATACTCCTCTTGACATAGTTCGTAGACTTTCATTTATAGGCGTCTGGTTGTCGCCATATTGAATTTTGATTACTTTCATGTCTTTAGTGACACAGAAGATTAAAACGAATCGATTAGGAATCATCAAAATCAGCCTACGCGTTTGGTTTCCAGAGCGCCACAAAGGAACAAACATTCACACACACACACACACACACGCACACGCACACGCACACGCACACGCACCACACGCACACGCACACGCACACGCACACGCACACGCAACGCACACGCACACGCACACGCCCTGGCACACGCACACGCACACGCACACGCACACACGCACACACACACACACACACACACACACACACACACACACACACACATGCTGATAAACACACACACCAAACACAACAAAAAATTTGATACAATTTATCGAAACATGCTCTTGTTCTTGGTAGGCGGTAACAAAGGACTGAAACCTTATTCGGAAAACATTGTTTTAACCGCGCACCTTTTCCTTTGTTCAAAGTTAGCGTCGGTTCTGTGAATTAATTTTCCGCCGCTAAAACAATATTTAGACGAGATCTTTGAAACGGGGCTCGAATTGTGATTAAGATAAACGTTGGCTGAATATCCAGGGCCTCACGACGGAAGGATAACACGATCGTTGTTATTTTATAAAACTCGTCTTTTAGTCTTTTTCTATTTGTTGAGATAGGGGTTTACTTTTCTCGTTGAATGTAATAAAATTAAAAGTAATCATATTCTTCCGAATATTAACTAAATAAAAACAAAATGTTTCTTATTTTCAGAAAAATAAAATTGTAGGCGACAACACGGACGATCTGTTCGTAAGCGGTTGTGGTGCATAAACACACATCTATCCTCGAATAAGAACGCAGATACATTGGGTTCGTTTGGCAGAAAAAAGCGCTAGCAAGCGCTTGTAAGCAAAATGGCGAAACTAAACAGTTTTCGGCCAGCACACGTTTGCTAATTTCAGTAGCGTTGACACAATCCGCCATTTTGATTATTTAATTTGTTTGTTTTGAAGTAGAGTTTAGAAGTTGTTTTGTGCAATATTAGTTTTAGGTAATATAATGACATGAATAAACATATACATATTATTAAAAATTCATGATTGGTAAGTTTTTAATATGGATACTTTACAAACATATTTAAATTAGGTTAGGTTCCCCGGTTATAGCTAACTTCGTGTCCTAGAGGAAAATAGCTTCTTACGATTTGACAGCGCTTACCGCTTACGATCGCCATTTTGCTTACAAGCGCTTGCTAGCGCTTTTTTCTGCCAAACGCACCCATTGTCATCCGGAAGACTAAACTGAATGGGTGTATTGTGTGCTCGTTTGTCACCACTGTTATTATAAAAAGTAACCTTAAGCGTAAAAAAGACGTGTAGCACTCGGGGACTGCCGCGGTAAAGCTATTGCATAGCATTTTGTATCAACTTATGCAATTATAATTATTTTTTATTTATTTTATTTATGCAGTATTTCTTTTTCTTTGATATTAATTCAAGTTACACTTTTTGAGCGTGGTGACCGATAAGAAAACAAATTTAAGAGGGCTACTTTTAATATCGCTCATTTTAATATCAAAAATTTAGGTTATCTTTATAGCAGTATTATATTTTCAATTCAAAATTAATACTGCATTTGTGATAATAATAAAATTTATGTATATAAAGTACTCACTCATTTTCTTTCACTATTTTTTCGTGACTTTCTTCATTAATAATAAATGCACTTTGTTCATTCATATTCAAAACACTTTATACACAAATTTTACAAGTACAGCTATTCACTGTTGTACATAAATACCTATACACCTATATACTTTCTCATAAACAGCTGCTTATGTATTCGTCCGATTTCGGAGCAGCTCGTCTCGATTCGTGCGAGCTTCGTAGAGTCGTACAATACGTCTAGTTGCACGCACACAAACACCGTGTCGAAGACTGCCACAGAGTACTTTTTTATATATAGGAAAAGACTGCCGAAAAGAAACGACGTTAGACAACGCACGGCCTTCAAGCCACACCTCCGTGCCCGTCGGAGTGGGGAGCGTGAGGTTTTTTTTCGTTACGGAATTTCTGGATTCGGTCCCCGCGCTCAAGGCCCGCGATAGAAGCTATGCAATAGCTTAGTAAAAAAAATACAAGAAATTAAAAAAAACACATAAAATAATATTTGTTGAAATAACATTTGGGAGAAAAATACTCCACAAATTTTCCCCGAAGTATAAACTTGTTGAAGTAATGGCGCGTAGCGTTTGACTTTCAAAACTTGCCCGGTAAAAGCCAATTTTGCATAAAATATTTGATTTCGAATACTCGACGTTAAATAAAACTAATTTTACGGATTTATCGCGTAAAATTAAATGCGATGGACATGTAAAATTCGTTTTATTAAAAAATATTTTACTTTGATATTGACATTCACAAATTTATTTATTTATTACACTAGTTTTTGACCCGCGACTTCGCTCGCGTGGGCTTCAATTCAGAAACATCATTAATACTATTCCGTGACAAAATAAGCGAAATTGGATCCACCCCACAGCACTCCTTTTATAATCGCTCCGAATACCTATCAAAATGCGTATGTACATCATATTTGTATTTGCTTAAATAAAACTCATAAAAACATAAAAATTGTAGCTTTTGCACGATTGTAGACCACATTTAGCTAGTAATTAGTCATTCAACGGTATCACGAACTATTCCATCAATTGGATAGAATTAGATAAAAATCTCACCGTACACTTAATTATCAATTACTTATATATCGCACTTGATACAAAAAATAGGTTAAATATTGCTATGCTGATATCATATCACGGTTTTGTGTACATAGTTTTGTTAATCTAAGAACTCCAGAATGTGGCTACCGGTCTGCATATTTTAAATCTGACAATTTCTGATACTGCAACAATAAGTATTTAACAAAGTTGTTTTTAATTTGATCAATTACTTATGAGTTTATTTAGTGGTCC